AGCAAACTCGCGGATCAATACGGAACAAGTCCGTGTGCAATCCTCGTGAGAAGACGTTTACAAATCCTCTTGCGTGCAGGGGAGGGGAACCCACAGTGGATTACCCCGCTGGGGGAAAAAACCCAAGCATTACCCAACCCGCCCACCAATAGAGGGAAACGAATCCAACGTCGCCGCGGGCGACGACCATGCGGAAGCAGGAGTTGTGCCAGCAGTGCTAGGCAACCGACGTTGAGCAAACTCGCCAATCAAAGCGAAGCAACCCCGACTGCAATCCTCATGAAAAGATGCATGTAAACCCTCCCGCGTGCAGGGTAGCCCGCGATATAATATTTCCATGGAGAGATAACACCCAAGCATTATCAAGCCCGCCAAATAATAGAGGGGCACGTATCCCACGTCGTCGCGCGCGCCGACCAAGCGCCAGCAAGAATTGTGCCAACAACGCTAGGCAAAACAAACGGGTTTAACACAATCGCAGTTCAAAACGACACCGCGCCTATTGCAATTATCTTGAGAAGATGCTCATGCATCCTCACGCGGGCAAGGTCTCCCACAATGGATTACTCCGCTGGAAAAACAACAACAACGCCCAATCATCTTACAGCCCGCCCAAACATTGAAGGAAACGAATCCCATGCCGCCGCGCGCGCTGACCAAGCGCCAGCAGGAAATGCACCGACAGTGCCAGACAGGCGGGTGTGAGCAAACTTGCAAATCAACATGAGGCAAAGTTGCATTGCAATTCTCATGAGAAGATGCTCACACATCCTCTCACGCGCAGGGTCGCCGAACTAACCCCCAAGCATTGCCCAGCCCGCCCAATAGAGAGACACCAGCCCCACGCCGCCGCTTGGACGACCAGGCGTCAGCAGGTGTTCTGCCAAAGGTGCGGGGCAAACGACTTCGAGCAAACTCGCGCCTCAAAACTATGGAATCCCTAATACAATCCTCGTGAGAAGATGCTTGTACACCCCCCCAGCCAACAATATTTGATTCGTCTGGGGAGATAACACCCAATGATTACCCAGCCCGCCCAACAAAAGAGGGAAACCACTCTCACGTCGCCGCGCGGACGGCCAGGCGCCAGCAGGTGTTCTGCCAGCAGTGCAAACAAAGCGGCGGTGAGCACACTCGCGAACCAAAGCGATACAAATCCTGTTGCAATCCTTGTGAGAAGATGCCTACAACTCCTCCCGCGGGCAGGGTAGCCCACAATAGATTATTTTCCTGGAGAGCGAACCCCCGAACATTATCAAGCCTGGCTAACGATAGAGGGAAACCAACTTCACGTCGCCGCGCGCGCCGATCAGGCGCCAGCAACAATTCTTCAAGCAGTGCTCGGCAAACGAGATTGAACAAATCCGCAAATCAAATCGAAACAAACCCGATTGCAATCCTCGTGAGAAGATGCTCACACATCCCCACGCGCACACGGTAACCAACAACGGATTGTCCCGATGAAGACATAACCCCACACATGACCCATCCCGCCCAACAATATGGGGAAATCGCACAGGGATGCACCCAACCCTGTTGACACATGAGGCGATTATACATCGGACCGCTCAATACAAAAGCTAGCACTCCAGGAACCGCCGTGCTCTTGAACGATACGCCAAAGAACGTCGGAACAGAGTCACATGTTCACATATGCAGCGTCGCTCTTCAGAGTCAGATCGTTGGCAAGAAGGCGGCCATGAGATAGTGTGGACACACAATACGGATAAACGCTTGGAGACATAATTTGTCGGAGCAGCGACGCCGGACCCTCAAACGTCGCAACCCAGCCCCCCTTATGGTGATCTGCGTAAGACGCACCTCCGCTGGGCCTCCCAGGGGCCCACGAAAGTGGCCACAGTTTCGCAGATCACAGCCCCCGAGGGGGCGGCGAGGTCTCATGGTGATCTGCGTAAGACGCACCTCCGATGGTGCTCCCCGGAGCTCACTAACGTGGCGTCAGTTTCGCAGATCGCAGCCCCTCAGGGGACTGCGAGGTCCCATGGTGTTCTGCCTGAGACACACCTCCGCTGGGCCTCCCAGGAGCTCACTAACGTGGCGGCAATTTCGCAGATCGCAGCCCCCCAGGGGGCGGTGACGTCTCATGGTGATCTGCGGAAGGTGCACCTCCGCTGGGCTTCTCAGGAGCCCACGAAAGTGGCGACAGTTTCGCAGATCGCAGCCCCCCAAGGGACGTCGAGGTCTCATGGTGATCATTGTCAGACGCACCTCCGCTGGGCCTCCCAGAAGCCCACGAACGTGGCGACAGTTTCGCAGATCGCAGCTTCTCAAGGGACGGCCAAGTTCCATGGTGATCTGCGTAAGACGCACCTCCGCTGGGACTCCCAGGAACCCACGACAGTGGCGACAGTTTCGCAGATCGCAGCCCCCCAAGGGACGGCGGGGTCTCATCGTGATCTTTGTAAGACGCACCTCCGCTGGGCCTTCCAGGAGACGACGACAGTGGCGACAGTTGTGCACATCGCAGCCCCCCAGGGGGCGGCGAGGTCTCATGGAGATCTGCGTAAGACGCACCTCCGCTGGGCTTCCAAGGAGCTCACTAACGTGGCGGCAGTTGCGCAGATCGCAGCCCCAGGGGGCGGCGAGGTCTTGTGGTGTTCTGCATGAGACACACCTCCGCTGGGGCTCCCAGGAACCAATATCGCAGCCCCCCAAGGAACGGCGAGGCCTTGTGGTGATCTGCGTAAGACGCACCTCCGCGAGGCCTGCCAGGAGCCCACGAAAGTGGCGACAGCTTGGCAGATCGCAGCCCCTCAGGGGACGGCGGGGTCTCATGGTGATCTGCGTGAGACACACCCCAGCGGGCCCCCCAAGGAGCCCACGAAAGTGGCGACAGTTTCGTGGATCGTACCCCCCCCAAAGGGTCTCGTGGTGATCGGCGCAAGACGCACCTCCGCTGGGCCTCCCAGGAGCCCATAACAGTGGTGACGGTTTCGCACATCGCAACCCTCCAGGGGACGGCGAGGTCTTATGGTGATCTGCGTGAGACGCACCTCCGCTGGGCCTCCTAGGAGCCCACGAAAGTGGCGACAGTTTCGCAGATCGCAGCTGCCCAGGGGACGATGAGGTTTATGATGTTCTGCGTAAGACGTATCTCCGCTGGGTCTCCCAGGACTGCCCCGAAACCGGCGACAGTTGTGCAGATCGCAGCCCCCCAGGGGGCAGCGAGGTCTCATGGTGATCTGCGTAAGACGCACCTCCGCTAGGACTCCCAGGAGCCTACCTACAAAAGTGGTGACAGTTTCTCAGGTCGCAGTCCCCCTGGGGGTGGTGATGTCGCATGGTGATCTGCGTAAGGCGCATCTCCGCTGGGCTTCCCAGGAGCCCACGAAAGTGGCGACAGTTTCGCAGATCGCAGCCCTCCAAGGGACAGCGAGGTCTCATGGTGATCGGCGTACGGCGCACCTCCGCTGGGCCTTCCAGGAGACGATGGCAGTGGCGACAGTTACGCAGATCGCAGCCCCCCAGGGGGGCGGCGAGGTCTGATGGTGATCTGCGTAAGACGCACCTCAGCTGAGCCTCCCAGGAGCCTACAAAAGTACAGTTTCGCAGATCGCAGCCCCCCAGGGGACGGCGAGGTTTCATGGTGATCGGCGGAAGGCGCACCTCCGCTGGGCCTCCCAGGAGCTCACTAACGTGGCGGCAGTTTCGCAGATCGCAGCCCCACAGAGAACTGCGAGGTCTCATGGTGATCTGCGTAAGACACAGTCCGCTGGGCCTACACAAGTGGCGACAGTTTCGCAGATCGCAGCCCCCCAGGGGACGGCGAGGTCTCATGGTGATCGGCGTAAGGCGCACCTCTGCTGGGCCTCCCAGGAGCTCACTAACGTGGCGGCAATTTCGCAGATCGCGGCCCCACAGAGAACGGCGAAGTCTCACGGTGATCTGCGTAAGGCGCACCTCCGCTAGGCCTCCCAGGAGCCGGCAGCACCCCCGCTGCGCAAGTGACGACACCCGAGCGATCCGCGGGCACGAGGCTTGACGCAGGCGGGAGGAGAGAGGGAGAGGAGGGAGGAGGGAGGAGGCGGGAGGAGGAGGAGAGAGAGGAGGAGGAGGAGGAGGAGGAGGAGGAGGAGGAGGAGGAGGAGGAGGAGGAGGAGGAGGAGGATGGGGCCGACAGTGCTCTATCCAAAACGAGTGCCCCCACCTAGAAGAGGGCTGGGGAAAACATCTCCGCCGCGACGAGGAGGTTTTGGGACCAGTTCGACTCACCGCCGAGAGAGCGAGGGGGGGGGGGTCAACACCGAAAACGCCATGAGGTTGCACAGCTCCCACGCGCGCCCACCGGGCAGAACCTCGGCGGACCCAGGCAGCGCTCGGGGTGCCCACCCGGCGAAACCTCGGCGGCCCCAACCAGTGCAATTGGGTGGCCACGAGGCGCCCACGGAACCCCACCGGGCGAGACCTTTGGCGGACCAATGGGATTACCCATCGAGAGAAGCAAGACGCCCTAAGTGCAAGCACTGTTTTGGCCCCCCTCCCCCTCCTCCCCCTCCTCCACCCTCTCCTCCTCCTCCTCCTCCTCCCCCTCCTCCTCCTGTTTGGGCTGACTGCCCCACACTCCTGCGTGCGCACGCGTCGATTGAGCGTGGCTGTCTCGCACAGCGGTGTCGCCTACGTGTCGCCTCCTTGACACGAATGCTGGTGGCATGGCGCGCGCTTTCTTTGCGCATGGCACCGCCTTCTCCGAGCTGTGATGCGACTGTGACGTCTGTCGCTCGGCGCTGGCACTCAGCTGTATACGAGCGCCGTGGACCTCAAACGTGTTACGCCATTGAATGCATGACGGCTCGTTTCAATGTGCACCATCTCAGTAGCAGATGCACCTGGTCTGTCCCGACACCACGGACACTGATACCATATCAAGCAACGCGCGGCCTCGACGCCAACGGGCGCATGACTATTGCCGACTTCCTTCCCTTCTGACTGAACACGATACCAGCCGCACGCTCACATGATGTACGCATGATCTGATGGCATCAAACAGGCAGCGGTAATCGTGGAGTGCCAGAGGCAGACAAGGAACATTGTCTGGCCACCCATACTGAGTGAACATCTAAGGCGAGGGCGAAGAGGGAGAAGCGCGCCAAATCACAGAAAACTCGGCCTGGTGCGACTGAGCCGCCAAGCGCTACCACACCTCACGCTGAGACACAACTGTTGTCTGTCCTCTACAGGCGTCTGAGACTAATCCCTAAGACTGCCAATGATGACCGTCTGTGCGTTCACATTCGCCTCAACTGCCAGCTCGCGTTGCTGAACTCGTGTTCCTCTTCCCTTCCTTCTGCTCCAGCTATGAACACACTCACACACACGATCCCATGGTACGGCATACATACTATTACGCAAATGGTCAGCCCTCCGCTCTCACGCTTGTTTCCCTGACTCCGCTGGCATGTAGACGGATTGTGCTCAGCTGCCCCCCAGTGCTTCTCTGCAAATCGGCGAATCTGTCCTTCCTCCTCCTCCTCCTCCTCATGTTTCTCCTTGTCGCTCTCTTCTCCTCCACCTGTACCTCCTCTGGCTCCTCCCCCACTGATGTATCAGTCTTCAGTATGTGTAGACGTTCCTTCTCCTCCTCGGCCTCTTGTTGCTCTTGGTCCTCGCTGGTGGTCACGTGTTTTCGCGGCTATGCACACCTGGCATCCCGCTGTTGTCATGCCCTTTGGGGATCCTGGCCATTGGGTTGCCTACACTCGCTGCTTACACTCGTTCCCCCTTCCTCCCCCATTCGTTTTATACCCCCGCCCTCCGTCCCTCCTGTCACTCTCTCCCCTCGGCTGCTCGTGCCTCCTTCTCTGTTCGCCTCCTCTCGCTCTCTCTCTCTCTCTCTCTCTCTCTCTCTCTTTCTCTCTTTCTCCCACCCTCCCTCCCGTCTGCCCCCCCCTCCCTCCCCGCCCGTCTCCCTCCCCCGAGAGGCTCGAGGGCTCTGCTCAGAGCGAGCTCAGATGCGAATCGCCCCGCATCCCTCCTTGCTTCGCGAGGCCGGACACGGCCCGCCCCAGGCCGCGACTGGGCGTGGCTTAGTTGGGGGGGTCATGACTGCGGGGGGTCAGAACCGGTCCCCTTTCGTGTCCCTTTTCGGGCCCCTCCAGAGCCCCAAGGGGCTCGTTCAGGCACCGTTTCGGTACCTTTTCGGACCACCCTCGCCCCCCCCCCATTTGTGCCCCCCCATTACACAACGCCCAAGGTGAGAGATAGAAGTCCTCGCCGTGGGCGTACCGTTCCTCCGCAGCCCAAGCCAACAGGCAAGGGCCGCCGAAAAAGGCCGCTGTACCAGGCAGCTTCCTCGCCACATGAAGACCTGCGTGGTGCCGTCGATCGAGCAGTCGCTTCGGGCAACGAGCTTGCTCGTGAGTGCTAAGCTGAACCCGACACCGTATGGTAACAACATCGCTCCAACCAGCACAAGAGGGGCCAACGGACGAAACATCAGCCAGCGTTGGCTCCAAAAAGATAGGAGGACAGGAGGAGGACGAGAGGAGGATGGGATGAGGACGAAAGGAGGAAGGGAGCAGGACGGGAGGAGGACGGGAGGAGCAACATCAAGCAAGCGGAAGCAAGCAAGCGCAAGCGAGCAATGGCAAGCAAGCAGGAGCCAGCGATCAAGCGCAAGCACGCAGTGGCAAGCCAGAGCACGCACGCGAGAGCAGGCACTGCAGGAGGGGCCAGCGGACGAAGCTGCGTGGGAACACCGACGACATCAGCCGCAGCACGTTGCGCCGCCCCCCGGCGCAGACAACGGGCTCCAGCCACGACCCACCGCTGCCCACGGCTGCGGCCGATGCCCGCCAGGGCTGCGACGCCGCCCCGCTCGTCACCCTTGGCACGCACGAAGCGGACGTCCCCGTCGCCACGGTTCCCACCTGGGCCGACGATGGCATATCACGCACCAGTGCCAGCTCACTGCGTGCACTCGAGGGCGGCAAGGACCACCAAGCCCACGCCAGGCCACATCCAAGGAACCGTCTACCAACTAGGCCGCACAGAGGTCAAGTGCCTGCGGAACGTGGTCCAAATGCAACTGGACCCAGCGGGCAACTTTGTGTGGATCCGTGGATCCATATGTGAAGCGAATGCGACTTGTTCGACCGCGCCGCGGGGGGAGGAGTTGTCCCATCCCTGTGTTAGTCGAGCGGCGCCTCTTGCCATCGAGGCACGCCCTGTAGGTGCTTGTGCTCCATGGGCCCAGAGAGACCCGTGTCCGAACTGGTGCGCTCTCTCCCTCCCTCCCCCCCGCTCGCGCTCCCATCTGCCCCTTTCTTCCTGCCCCTTTTGCAGATCCGTTCCCTCCAAGTCCCTTCTGCATCTCTGTTGCCCCCTTCCACGATGCTCCGCGTCCTGCAGTCCCCAGTTCCCGAGCCTCTGTGGAATGTCTTCAAGTCGGGTCGCTTCAACTCGACATGAGAAGGCCGACGGTAGCTAGTACTGCCAGAGAGCCGCCGGCCACTGTCCACTTCCTTGCCCGCAACTTGCTACAACTCTCTCTTGGGACACCAACACCCCGAAATCCTGGACACTCCCGCTGATTTGGACCAATTTACTCACGCAAGAATACCTGGCGCGCACACATGATCCACGTGTTCAAGCACATGCTTACGATCCTAAGTGCTCATCCTTCGTGCATGTCCCTCGCTTGGCGTTTTGATCCAATCTGCTAGGGGACGCCGTTTCTGGGTACAGTTGGATATGCCTGTCTGCACGCTTCGCTGCACCGCCGTAAGCGCACCCGATCTCCTGCCTGTCCGCCCGTCAGGCTCTTGTATCTCGGTCGTTTTCGTTTTCCACTCGACAAGACGGGGTGGATATAGTTCCCCCGAACAGTGTGTGTGCACTTGGGGGGCACTACTGATTTGTCAGGAGCTGAAGCTGTGTGATGGTCTGGCGGCTCTGTTGTCGCCGTCGCCGCCCCGTCGCCGACTCAACGCCAGCCGTCGTCTGGGCCTGTGTGGCGGTCTGGCGGCTGTGTTGCCGCCGTCGCCGCCCCGTCGCCGCCCGCCGTTTGGGCCCGTGTGGCGGCCTGGCGGCTATGTTGCCGCCGCCGCTGACGCACAACATACGCTGCGCCACTTGAAATTCGCGCACCAAGCCGATTATCACACATGTTGTTCCGCAGAGACTGCAAAATTCCCATTTGTATATATATATATATATATATATTCATTAATTACCTAGGACCACCCCCCCGACCCTGGACCCCCCGAATCCCGGGCCCCCCGGACCCTCTGGACCCTCCCGATCCGTGGCCCCGTGGACCGCCTGGACGCCCATGCAGGAGGCCCCCAATGCGTTTTAGAGCTCCTGGAAGCCCTGGCTGGGCCTAGCCAACGGGCCCAAATCAGTCAGGAGGGCGGCCGAACGCCCCCCCGAGGGCCCCTAGAGGCCCCAGACACCAACCAGACGCCCGAAGACGACCCAAAGAAGACCCCCACGATGCTTCCAAAACGAAGAAAACATTGATGTTCTAAAGTCTTCGGTCTCCCTGTTCTTCGGTCTTCTGGGCGTCCGGGACCGCCTGGGAGGCTCGAAAATCGCCCCAATGCCATCCGAAAGGGCTTCCAGGCAGTCCAAGAGAACCCCAAGACAGCACAACAGGGTTCCAAAATGGCCCAAGGAAGCCCCACGACGGCCCAAGATGGCCTCAAGACGCTCTCCGAAGCATTCAAAATCGTGGCCCAGTCGTTCAGGGAGACCGCGGTTGGAGGCAGGGTGGCCCGAGGAAACCCGCAGAAGCCCCCAGAAGACCCCCAAGAGTCCTCCAGAAAGCCTGACAAAAGCCAGAGAAACTTCCGTGAGGTCCCCAGACGCTCTCCAAGGAGGAGCCTCCGCAAAAAGAGCTGAGGAGGATGGGGACGAATTCGCAGGGTAGGGCGAAATGAAGAAACAAACATGGAGGAAGGATCACGAATAGCATCATGATAACAGCGATGCTGGAAAAGTCAACACGGAGTTATCGCTAATTTGTCTGTTTGACCTTCCTGCCATGCCGCCTGCATGCCAAACTTCAAGAACAAAGGTGCATGGCGCAAATTGCCAATGCATTATCAAAAAAACGTACACACGTGTATCCATGTGTATAATGTAACACGTAAGTATGCCTACATAGCTGCATATGTATGCATATATATATATGTATATGTATATATAAATGTATATCAGCATTGCACCACATGGGCTGCACAATAACGACTGCACCACGTCGGCTGTACCGCATAATCTGCTACACATGCGTTGCTGAACAACAATCTGGCTACCGATATTGCACCACGTATCTTGTCTTACAAATTTTGCACATACATTGCACCTTCTAAATTCAGCCACACAAATCCTCCACGCCGATCGCACAACAGATGCTGCGCCACCTGTGTTCTGCAACGCAGACTGCACCATAGTGCAGGCTGCTCCAAACAGAGTGCACCACAACGGCCACTCCACATATACGATACAACAATGCGCACGTTTGGGCCCACATTGGCTAACATGTCACACGCAAGCAATCCCAGCGCGTTCGCCCGTCCGGCATGCCGTCACCGCTCAGCCCCGAGCTCCCCCGAGTGCTGGCACCCCGCCTCGCGTCCTCGGCACACTTACGGCGACAGAGTCCATCCCGCACGCCGCGGCCGCCACCTCGAGTCCTCGACGAATGTCAACAGAACCGATTCCACGTGCTGCTGCCGCCGGGCCCCAAGGATTCCCCCAAAGTTCGTGGTATCCCGCCTCGCGTTCTTCACGCATGACAGCGGAACCGACGACACACGCACCCACCTCTGAAGGCGCACGTGGCATCCTGAACCAACGCACCCACTGGCGTACAGGAAACGCATCTGTGCCACACCGACATGAACACGCATACTTCCAGGCATGCACCGCATACGCACACACACGTTGTGTACAGATCGCTCTCAAACCCCGGAGCCCGGTCCGGTCGATTTGGAGGGGGGGGGGGCCGTCCGGCCCGAGCTCATCAAGGGGGTCCGGCCCTTCCCGGGCGATCCCCACGACCCCCCAAAAAACAAAGGGGTCGGCGGTGTGGCGTGAGGCTAAGAATCATGGTAGCCAGCGATCGCAAACCCCAGGGTGGATTACTTACTAGAAGGTTCATGGCACGTGAGGCACTTCCCCCCTTAGTTCCCCTCCCCACTGGGCCCCCTGGGGGGCGAATCGCACGGCGCCTCAATTGACCACTTTCCCATGTGGGGCCAGGTGGGAAATAGCTCATGGGAGGGGGGGGGGGGGGGCGTGCATCTGTGCCACATCCCTACATTTCAGGCTGCAACTTTTGAGACACTTTTGAGCGCGAGCCACGACTTCAACATAAGCCGCCCCATCATCATTTCTAGCTCACGGGACGTGTTGAACAGCGTTTTGCGAACGAGCTGCGCTGCTATTGTGGATGTTGGGCATGGTGGAACATGTGGGAGGCTGAAGAAAATCGAAATCCGCATTTACAACACCCTTCGGCCTTTCTCCTTGTAGTGCTCAAAGGCGTTTGACACTGTGTGCGGCGACATTTTGAAAACTACTAGTCCCCCTGCATTTGCGTAGCAGCTGAGCATCGATCTAAGGCTAATGCCACATGAACACCATCAAGCCTCCAACCTTGCCGTACTTCAAGGACGAATGCGCGCGACGCTTATCTATGAGGCGACGGCCAAATTTGTATCAACATCCACCTCCATCTTTGTGGCAAGTGGACGTGTCGAGCTCCACGCTCTTACTCGGCGAAGTCTCAGGCGGAACGCCCGGCCCGCCCTATGCCCCACCGACATGTTTGGTGGTGCGGTGAAGAGAAGTTGCTTGTCAGTTAGAGGGGCGGGGGAGGGGGATGTCGACGATGAGGGATGGAGGAGGAGGAGAAGAAGGAGATGTTTACAAGGAAGATCGCGTGTTTTGTTGCATGTACTGCTGCATGCCTAAAATCAAGAGAACCAAAGTGATGGAAGGAAGTTTACGTTGCTCTCCCTACGATCATGCTAGGTATGCTGGCCTCGCGAAACATATTTCCAGGCGCTTCTCCCCGCTCCAGCCAAGCCAACTTGACCACTTTGCCACCCGTACTGACACATTGTAAGTCGTGGCAAATCCCAACCAACGCTCCATCGAGACAATCTGGACGCGCACAGCGATGACCATGGCATGACGAAGCCTTCAGGTCGAGTCGAGGAGGCACCGAGCAAGCGCCTTGCGGAGGTTGGCTGGCTCTTTTCTTCCCTCATCAACGAACTTCGCATTGCCAACGGGCCGAACACCAGGCCCACTGGTGGCCTGGAGCCCTCCCGTGTGCCTCCCACACATGTGTTGTACAGTCGGGGCGTTGACCTAAGGAACGAGAAATAAGGAACGAGGCCCCTTTTTCCCATATAGTAAACTCCGATTTCCCATGGAAAACCTCAAGAAAACCCAAGGAGCACTGTAAAGCAACTAAGGAACACGGAGCCCCTCCCCAACAAAAAGAGTTCCTTCTTCAGCGCCCCGACTGTAGGACCGGCGCCAGTGATGCTACACCTGAGCCACAAACGCAGCGCTCTGGCAACACAGTTGACAAGGTCACGTGCCACCCTGATCTAACGACCGATTTGCTCTTTGGTCTGGGCGGCAGGTTACGGGGTGAACGTGGGCCCCTTTCATCGCCGCTAATTTCGCCGTCGAACTCCTTGTGAACCGCGACGTGTGTTCCCCCAAGACCCTTTCCTTGGACCCGGCATATCCTTCTACGACGGAAACTGCACAACAAAGCTCGGGCTAAATCGTATTTCTCGCTTCTGTGTTGTTTTAATATTTTCTCGTTCTGTCATCATTCCGCCTTTGCTGCAACATGGACTCAAGACGACAACGATCCACGAAGTCGCCGGAGCATACTTTAGCTCGCGCCCTGCTGCATTGGGCCCTGTGGCCCACACCCCTGTCTCTGGCCCCCTTCCGAGGCCACAGAAACAACACTACTCCAGATTTGTCTTGGAGTGTCCAGACCCCCTCCCTTTTATTACGAAATCTGGACTACACTAGGACAGCCCGGAAAACACATGCGAGTCCCCGTCGGAGGCTGGCCGAAAACCATGGCGGGGCCTCGCGGCCGCGTGTCCCTCGGCCTCGAAATACCCCGTGGCGCCGACACCCGACGGTTCCCGTGTAGCAGTACATTCGAGGACTGCCCCCCCCCCCCCCCACACACACAGACCTTTCGAAATACGAGATGGTGTGGTTCGACTCTCTGGTGCGTGGCGAGCCTGAAACTGCCTATATTGATAGGCATTCCCAGCCAGTCACCGAGATGCCTGCTCAGGGGCACGCTCTGGACTGAAGGGTTGATGATGTGTTGTACGGTTCGGCTTGAGACACTTCCGGGAACCTGGGTATTAGTTGTGGGAGGAGGGGGGGAAAAGGTGAACGGGGAGCGGTACAGGGGGGACGGGGGGGAGCTGGGTGAGGAGGAGAAGGGCAAGGAGGGGGGGGAAGGGGGGGACAGGGAGAAAAACAGGAAACCGAGGAGTGGGGGAGGGGAAGGACGATGGGGGGGGAGGAAGGGGAGGGGGGGGGGGATGGGGGAAGAAGGCGGGGGTGATGGGGGGGATGGGGAGGAGGCGGGCGGGGGGACGGAGAAAGAGGGGGGGGGCAAAGAGAAGGAGGGGGGGGGGACCAACCGACGCCACGGCGGGGCTGCTCGGCCACCCGTCCTCTGGCTCAGCCAACTCATCCTGTAGTAGCTGGGGATATGGATCTCCTCTCGGCCGCGCTCGATGTCCATGGACGTGCTGGCGGCGGTGCAGCTTGTTCTTTCGAGTCGGGTGGCGGATAGACACAGACAGGGGGGGCTGACACAAGAGAGAGAGAGAGGAACGGAGACCGAGAGAGAGAGAGAGAGACAGAGACAGAGACCGAGAAAGAAAGAAAGCGAGAGAGAGAGAGAGAGAGACAGAGAAAGAGAGAGAGAGAGAAAGCAAGAGAGAACAAGAGACAAAACACGAGAGACGGAAACGGAACGGCAGGGGATCGCGCTCGTCGGTGGTGGAGGATGCGGAAGAGGAGGCGGAGGAGGGAGAGACAACGGGGAGGTGGGGGGTGACAGGACGGGGGGGGAAAGGATGAAATGGGCGGGAGAGGAAGAGACGACCGTACGATAGGGGGGATTCAGCCCCACCCTGTCATCCACCTCGCCCCAGAGGGCGGGGCAGCGGACCGGCGGCGGGTGCTCCTGGCCCGTCGAATGGCTCCATGCAAACGTCGACGCCATGCGCATCGGCCGACGATCGGCCGACGATCGGCCGACGACGACCGGAGGTGCGCGGTAGCGTGAGCATGGGCAATAACGAAAAACTGAGGCGATAGGAGCAAGAAAGGGATGCAACACCAGCAGTAGAAACGCACGATAGAGACGGCAAATTGGGGGTGGGCATAACGATCTCATCGTGTGTGTGGGGGGCAGAACACGCATCATTACGAATTCCCTGGAAGTGCGCGACAGAGCGAAAATGGGTGCAACCACTTTGGCACCCACTGAAAACGACGGCGCTGGCCGCTGCAGCGGCGCCAGTCCGCGGAGTCACTCTGGTTCCAGCGCGTCGCCGCTGGCCAAAACACCAGAACTCGCAACGTCCTCCAGCCCGGCAGCCGTGCCAGCTGCGAGACGAAAGCCAGGGCGCTGACGCGAGGGAAAGGTAGGAGGAAAACCAATAGCACCAGCAACGCTCGGGGGGCAAGTGACGCGAGGAGGTCGCGGGGGGTAGCAAACTGGGCGACGGATCGAATCCACAATCCCGCTATGGGAGACCTCAAAGACAGGAAACAAATGAAACTCATCCCTGCGGGATTGCGCAACAAGCATGCGATCACTCGGATCTCATTAGTCAAGCTTTCCGACTCGCCCTGGGGTGGCAATCATCGTGGTAACGGTGCGCGGAGAATGCGAAGACGCCCGGCCGACTGCAGGAGGGCGACGTGCGCGACGCAAGCGGCGCCGTTTCAGCGGAGGGGGCAGCAGCATCTCCGATATAGCGGGGCGGTTGGGCAAAAACGGCTGCAAACAGGCGAGGCAGAAGGGTCGGGGGAAACCGACGCCTCGGATGGCGGGCGGTGCCGGCACGGTTACAAACAAGAAAAGGAGGAGAAGGGGATAAGGTGAAGTGGCAGGCGGAAAAGGGTTCCTCCTTTTTCTTTTCCGCCCCCGTCCCCACGCTGCAGTGTCCTGCGACGACGACGAAGGTGACGACAACGGCGACAGCCACGGCGACGGCGACGGCGACGGCGACGACGACGCACGGCGAATGCTCAATGGGGCGGGGCTGGAGGCGGGGGCACTGCGCATGCATGCCCGCCGTAGTCGTCGACGACGACGACGACGACGGCGCCGACGACGACGACGACAACGACGACGCAATGCGAATGCCCCAGCTGCAGCCGGCGACGACGATGAAAACGTCGACGATGGGGGCGAGCACGAGGACGAGCACGACGACGACGATAACGACCAGGACCACGACGACGACGCCGACAACGACGCGCCGACGACGACGACGCTCTGCGGATGGATGGCCAATCGGGGGCTGTTGCGTAGGCCCGCTGTCGTCGACGACGGCGACGACGACGACATGGGCGAGGGCGAAGACGAGGACAGAACGAGGACGACAACGGACGACGACGGCGACGACGACAAACTGCGGATGCCATATGTGTGCGTGGGGGGTTCTGCTCAGTCCCGCTGTAGTCGACGACGACGACGACGACGACGAGGGCGGGGGCGGGGATGGGGACAAGGGCGACGATTATGTTAAGCAGCGCGACGACGACTGCGACGACGACGCCGCAGCGCGGCTGCCCCATGGGGGGGATGCGTAGGCCCGGCCCGCTGCAGTCGACGACGATTACGACCGCGACGACAACGATGACGACATCTTTTGGCGCGTCAGTCATCAGCATGAGACGGGGGAGAACCCCTGGCCAGGTGCAGCGAGTGACTCGTTGGGCTTCTGCATCCGTCTTTGATCCGGCTAAGAGCGCGGGCATCAAGCGCTGCAAGTTCAGTGCGCGTCCACCCCCATCGGACTTGTCGACGAGCGAGACGAAGACGACTGTGACGGCGAAACGGGAGACGAACCTCCTGCTGGCGGCGCGGGCGGCCGCGGCCCCCTCGAAGTGCAGGCGGGCGCCCCGGCGCACGGCTCCACGCTGCAAGCTGGCGTCTGACGCGGCGGTCAGCTCGCTGAACGGTCTGCGGAGGTCGCGCCGCCCAATCGTCTGCGCCGCCGACGCCGCCGGCAGCCCCTAGAGCACCCGCGCAGGCATGGGCGCCTGGCCGCGCATCCTGATCGCGAGCCGCCATGGGTGAATGAAGCGAATCATCGACTCGCACCCGAGGACGAGGCAGCGGACCCAGCGACCAGCCAGCAACAGCATCCACTTCTGCGCCAACTGCAGCAATTGCGGCGCCGCCACGGTGAGGGGCGCCGCGCAACGCCCGAACTCCACAGGGGACCCAAACGAGCCCACCTCGTTGACGATGTCTCGGCGCAGCAACACCGCCCGCAGCTCCCAGGAGACAGCCCCGGGGTCGTCGGGCGGGACATGGCCATCCGCGTCTCGAGCTCCAGGGGAGCCCGCAACGTCATTGAGGCCCCTCTTCAGCTGGACTGCCTGCCGCCAGTCAACAAACTCCAGCGCGCCCGGGCTCTCGCCGCACAAGGTCCCCAGCCGCCGAGGGCGAGGGTGCTGGGCGCGCAGCTGGCGCCCGCGGACGCGGCGGACCACGCCGGGCGCTGAAATCCACCCCTCAGGAACGACAGCCGGCGCAACGCACACAAGGCCTGCACCTGCTAAGCCCGCCGACACCCGCGACGCATGCATGAATGTGGCTCCGCGCGGCAGCCAGGCGTCCCTGAGGCCGTGCACTTAGAAGCAGCACTTCAGGTCCTCGACACCCCAATGTAGACCAGACCGCGAGGTCAGGGTCTTCCACGTGGCGCCATATTGGAGGAAAGGAGCGCCCCCCCTCCACGATGCGACGCACGCGGCTGGCGTGGCAGATGGTCATCACAAGGCGCCGCGCCCTTTCGGCGGCCACCCTTGCGCGCGCAGAGGCTCCTCAGCGTCTTCCGACCGCGCGCCTCGAGGATCTCGCCGTGCTCGGCAGGCTTCAAGATGCCGCGCTGCGCGACCTCCCCCGCGATGGTCTCCCACTCGGTATCGGTGGCCCAGACCTCCTCGGCGTCGTGGGCCGTGGCGGCACTCATCAACTCCCGCTCCCCGTCTAGCTCCAGCTGGGCTCCTGGATCTGGGTGTCTCAAGGCGTTCACCTCGGACAGCGGGTTAGCCATGGGCGCCCTTTGGGCCGCCGATCGAATCGCCTGTGGCGCCCGGCTCCCGTGCGTGGCATAGTGCAACGTTAAGCTCTCAGCCGTGGTGTTCAGCTAAGCTTGCCCCTGCTCAATGGCTGTCGCATTGCATTCCCCAGTTCTGCAACTCCCTCCGCGGGCAGGGACAGGGGACAGGGCCGCAATGCTGGAAACTGTCGGCAGCGGCGCGAGGTCTCGCCGCTTCCCCACACTGCGTAGGTGGGCACGACTCATGCGCGTCAACAGCTGCATCCTGCCCCCACCGGGGGCGAAGTGCAGCTTCCTCTGGGCATCGAACTTGTCGCAGTGTCGGCGTAGCCAGCTCCCAGGATACTCACGGTCAAATAAATCAAACGTCGTGAACCTCATCGTCGCCACTCCTAGCGCGAGAGCCCACTTCAGCGCCGATGAGATCTCGGGACGCGCGCCAGGTTGCGGCGCTGCACCAGGCGTCTCTGTCGTCGGGCACGGCCGTCTCGACGCAGCCTCTCCCGCGGCCAGCTTGAATTGCTGGGGGGGCTCCAGCAAGGCGGTCCGCGCCCGTGGAGCTCGTCTGGGTTGCCGCGCACTCTGGGTCGCAGGCGGCGCCAGCCTCGGAGCGGCCTAGAGACGGCCCTGGCCGGCCTGCCGCCCCCGCCTCGTTCTGCCCGCCCCTTCCCCCGCAGCGGGGCGACCCGTTGCCTCCCGCGCGCGGCGGGCTGCGGCGCGGAAGCGGTCCGTCGCCCGCGAAGAGCACGCGCCGCTGCAGAGAGCGAGCGGCCCCGTGGGCCTCCCCCGCGCGCCTCGGCGCTCGCCTCCTGTCGGGGCCGGGCCCCCTTGCTCCCAGCGGCGCGGGGCTCGCCCTCGCTGCCGCTGCCGCGCCGCCAAACTCCGCCCGCAGCGAGGGGGCGCGAAGCGAACTCGGTCTCTCGGCCGCCGACTGCTGGACTGCTCGCCGGGGCCGCGGGGCTGCCCGCTTTGCCGCCGGAGCCGCCCGCCTTCGCCGCCGCCTGCTCGGCGCGCTGCGTCTGCGCCCGCGGCGGGAAGCGGGTGCTCGCATCGCCTTCGTCGCAGTTTCCTGGGAGCCGTGGATCTCCGCGCACTTGCTCGCGGCGTCGGCCCGCCCAGCAGAAGGAACGGCTCTCCCGCCGTGGTTGCGGCGCAGATCCTTGCGCGGGGCCATCTGCCAGTGGCTGTCCACGGTCGCCTGCTCGATCGCCTCCATCCACTGCATCCGCGCGGCCCCGCGGGGATCGAGTTCTCCTCGAAGGGGGGCGTGCAAGGAGTCCACCGTCGGGCGGATCTCCCATCGCGCTCCTCGCAATCATCTCGCAATGGGGGTGGAGGCCGTGGAACGCATCGGCGACGCGCCTCACGACCTGGCCACTCTTTTCCGGCACGAACTCTCAGTCGGCCGCACCGTCGCGCCGCGCCAGGCTACGACTGCTCACCCTCGTGCAGCTCGCAATCGATGCGCCTGGCCGGTCGCAGGCAAGGGTCTCGATCTGGCGCCTTGCGTCGACGTGTGAGGCGCCGCCAACGCACACCCCCCGTCGCTCCCTTCCTTCTTGTTATTATTATTGTTCTTCTTGGCCCGTTTGTCAGCGCGAGCTGCCTCCGCGCGTGATGCCCGAGACTCGCCGATCGTCCTCTTGTACTCCAGGCGTCTCCACAACTCGATGGCCATCGCCGCCAGCTCGTCGCGTGGGGGGGGCCCTCCTCGTCTTTGCCTGATGCCGAGCCAGCTGGCCCCAGTCCCGGGGTCGCGCCAGGCAGGCCCCCCGCTCCCGCAGCGGCGACGGCCCCCCCCGCCTGCAGCCGCGGCTCCAGGACGCCTCGCGAGGCTCGCACATGGTACGTCTCGAGCTGAATCACCGACCGCAGCAGTCATAGCATCATGGCGGCGCACTGGGCGGCAGGCTGGGTGTCGAGGTGCAGCGCCGACCCATCGACCGCGCCGAAGCTGCACCACAGCGCGGGGGCGAGCTGGGGTGCGATCGTTCCCAAGGACAAAGCCTCCATGAAACAGCCGTCCACGTCGCCTTGCCAGGCGTTCGGCTCCTGGCGCACGACGGTGCCCACGGCACCTCCAAGCGCGCCCAGCAGCATGACCTCGACGCATGCTCCAGGGCTGACGCTGGGCCGCTGGATGCACGTCGTAGCCCTCGGCCCGTGGGCCCCGCGTCACTAGCAGTCGAACGCCGCGGCCCTGGGTCACCGCCAGCTGCGCGGGCGAAGGAGACGCCCCCGCGCCGAGGGCGATACCGCCGAAACCGCCCAGCAGGCTGCCTGCCGCGCCACCAGCGGCGCCGCCAGCGAGGGGAGGCGAAGTGGAACGCCAGCGGCAGAGGCGCGCACCCGATGCCCAGCACGCGGGCGCCACGACGCCCCGCCACCCTGCCCAAAGGCGAGTTTAGCGGCGAGGTCCGCCGCCAAGGAGCGCCGCCAGCACAGGATTCTGCACCGCCTTCGCGTTCAGGCAATGGTCGATTCTCGAGCTCGCCCTGTAGTGCCAACGTCGCCGACTCGATAGAGTTCGGGAGGGGGGGTCCGCAGCGCATGGCAGACGACGTGGAGACTCCGAGCAAGGCCGGGTAGCCTATCGGGCAGCCAGACGAGTCGTCGAGTCAGTGCCGCCCACCGCACTGATTGGTCCGATGGTCCTGGGCTGGGCTCGTCTTCGCCATCGGTCACCTGCTCGGACGACTGGAGCCCACGATACAATCGGCGTAACACTGCTGACTGAGCAGCAAACCGTTGCGACAAGAACCGGTATTCTACGAGGAAAACAACTCACAGCAATCCGACCGTAGCACTCTTCACCCGTCTCCTGCATGCGACCCCACGCCAGGGGACAGATCCTTGGGCGAGGCTGCGGCGAGAGGTACTGAAGGGGCCGCCCAGAGTCTGGCAGCCCCAGCTGGGGCTAGGACTGGCAACAGCGCCTCCACATAGCCAGATAAACTTGAACAACAAGTATGGACAAGGCGGTCGTGACAGCAAGCAGGATAAAGTGAGGACGGGAGGCAAAACACATCACATGTGATATAACATGTCATTGCCAAGACGCGACGAACGCTTTGATTTGCGACGCTGGTGTCAAAGAACTCACAAACGATTGTCTTCCAGCGGTGCACTTCCCGCATTGAAGACATATTCTCGGAGGGCCCTGTGAAGAGGGAACTTGGAGAGAGGCCGTATCGCAACATCGTTGATGCGTCTTTGGCTTACTCTGCTCCTTTTCCTCCTCCTCCTCCTCCTCCTCTCCTCTCTTCCTCTGATGCTGCCCCCCCCCACCCCTCATCCTCATCCCCGCTCTCCGTCTCCCTCTCCCTCTGTCCGTCTCCTCCTTCTCCTGTATCCCCTTCCTCCTCTTCGTCCTCCTCCTGTCCCCTTTCCGGCGCCACCTCATGCCTACCTCGCCCTAGTCCTCATCCTTCTGCTCGTCCTGCTGCTCCTCCTTCTCCTGTCCCTCCCTTTCCATTACCACCATGCTCGGGCCCACAAGAGAGCAAAACGTACCTGAGAAAGAGGCTATCCATGCTCATGCTCTCGAACGTGCCATCGTGCTCCTCCGCGACACTCGCCTCGACACCGCGCCAACTAAGGCGGCGGGAGGCCAAAACACCCGCGCCAGCCAACACCTTACACTTTCGGTTTCGCGCGTGTATTTTGCCGCGAGACGATCCCAGATGCTTCTCGATGGCCCTCGCTGGAGAAAAATGCACACGCCCGAGCGATGCCAAGTGAAAATTGGGGTGAAGAAGGTGCCCTTTTCGGGCCCCTTTGAGGCCCTAAAGGGTTCCTTTAGAGGCCCTAAATGGCTCCTTATCTGAAGCCGTCGCTGCCCTGTCACCCCCCCCCTTTACGCGCCCCCACAAAATTCGCGGTTCTCGTTTCCGATCGCTCGCATGTTGCACGCGTGGCACCGCGGCGGCTGCTTACTTACTGAACCAAACGCGATCTGAGGTTATGCTCGGAGTTACAAGCTCTAAACTGTTGCTTGTTTGATGAAGCGTAAGAGACCCCATTTTCAGCATCTCGCCCCGCGTCTGAGAACACAATTTGGCCATCTGAGCAGATGCCACGTCCAAAACAATTGCCTCTGCGCCAAATGCCGTGCAAGGTACTGGTTCGAACACGTCTGGTGTATGATGACTGGTTCGATTACGTCCTTTCCGTCCAAGCACCATCGTCGTGCAAGCTCTCAGCTTTTCCGAACACCCAGGCGCCACCGTCGTGCAACGACTGGGTGTATTCTCCTCTGGTTATTCGGCCGAGGCGTTGGATCGGGTTCGCCCCCTGGATGCGTCTGCGTCGTGTCCTGGGCTGCCCAGCGGGCCTCACACCGTCCAAATGCTTCAGGCCATCCCCTGCTTCGGCGGTGGACAACCCTCCCTTTCGTAAACCTCCCCTTCGTGCAAGCGGCCTGGGACGGAAACCGACGGACCCGGACCCGCGAGAATGACGGCCGCGACGCCCTCTCGCGAACCGAAGACGGCCAATTCCTCAATCGACGTGCCAGGGTCGGAGGTCTGCCCGCCTCCGATGGCTGCCCGTCGGCAACGCCGGGCGGCTTCGGGTCGACCTCAAGCGGCGCAGGAACCACGCGCGGCAAGGGAGCGCCGAGATTGGAGCCTGGAGATGGGCACCAGCACCAACACCGGGGGGTTGCAGTCGAGGCGTTGACCGAAGGAACCCCAAATGAGGAACGAGGCCCCTATTTTCCATAAGTTGAACTTCGACTTCGTATCGGAAACCTAAGGACAATCCAAGGCAAGCTGCGAAACACTTAAGGAACACGGAGACCCTCCCCAACGAAAAGGGTTCCTTCTTCAGGGCCCAGACTGTACCTCCACAGGGGACACATGCGCCTAGCTTTCGGAGTTGGTGGTAACCTGTCGGCAACCTTGGAGGCCAGAGGATTACCACTACCGCCGAGATCGGGATTTCTTCTTCCCTCGGTGGAGGCACACCGCCGATATTAGTGTTGGTATCAGCCTCTAGGCCTGCGCCAAGAAAATTAACCAGCTCCGCCCGCCCGCCTGCCGCCAAGTCTAGCCCAACAGTCACTCTCCGCCGTGCGCCCGCTCGAAGCGGGGCTCTCAGGACCGGGAGGCGAACGCATCTCGAGCGCGCCTCCTCCTCCTCCTCCTCCTCCTCCTCCTCCTCCTCCTGGTCCAGGGTTGTCCGGACCGAGCCACCAGTGGCGAGGCCTCCGAGCGAGTTTTCGCGACACCGCTCGGTGTACCACACGGCACGAGGTCGCCCAAACTGGGTCCGAGTAGATTGGCTCGGGGGATCGCGCCGCATCGCCAATGAATCGGCGATGCGTCGGTGACGTCGGGATGGATAACATCGGGCTCCGAATCGAGCCCAGTTGCCGATCCATCAGCGATGCGGCGTGGTCGACCGACCCCATCGACCTCGACTCCATTTAGGCGGTCTGGAACACCGGTACAGGGTACAGTCAACCCACATAAGTAGGACGCACGATAAGGATGGCAAAGGCTTTGGAAGGCCAAGCCGGCACTTTGCGAGAGGGGCGCGGCCAGCGAGAGTGGCCAAGGATGGGCCGAAGGGGAAAGATGCAAGGGTGACCTTGGAAAGTCGCTCATCTTTACTACAGTAGGGGCCCGAATACAAGAAACCTTCCACAAGAAATCGAACCCTGAGACCCCCGGGCGTCGATTGAGTTTGGGTGTGGGAACGTCACGCTCTCAGAAGCAAACCCATCGAAACCCAAACCAACCCAGGGCACCTTGGAGGTGAGCAGGGTGTTTCTTGGCATGGGCCCTCACTGTATGCCGGTTTCGAGGCCTCCTAGATAAGGTCCGAGTAGATGGGGTGGGAGGATCGCGCCGCATCGCCAATGTATCCTGATGCATCGGCGATGCATCGGCGATGCATCGGGGACGTCGGCGATGCTTTGGCGACGTCGGCGTGTGGAAACACGGTCTCCGCATCGAGCCGCATCGTCGATGCATCGGCGATGCGGCGCGACCCACCGACCACGTCTGCTCCGACCCCACCTGGGCGGCCTGGAAGGATGGCCGTACCCCAGAGCTGCACGTGCCGGAGAGCCCTCCCCACGGCTCCCCCCCCGAGAGGGATCAGCTGAGCCCCAGAGAGAGGCGGCGGTGCTGCGCGCGGCACGAGATGGCGCGAGCAGCTGCTCGGAGTGCAGGACGGGGCCGCGGGGGGGGGATTTCCATGAGCGCCCAATGAGGCTCTCGCGGGCCTTGCGGCGGCACCCAAACAATCTGCTACGGCCACTGGAGCTGCCGAGCGCCCAAGACCTGAAACTAAGCATGTCCCTTGAAGCTTTGAGTTGAGTGGTTCATTTTGGACGCTCGTTGAAGCGTGCAATGGGCGACCGCGAGCAAGTTTCACCTGAAGGCCAATTCAACCGTACTTTGCCATGGCATGTCGTTTAATGGGCGTCAACGGCCTAAAAAGGCGCAACCTTGAAAACACGCACACGCGCAACGGCTCGCCAAATCCGTGTAGATGCGCTTCAGGGCCTCCATGTGCTCCTGAGGCGCAGCGGCGGACAGCGGGGCAAAGATGATGGCAAGAGCAGGGCAGGTGCCGGGGCAGAAGGCATGGGCAGGGCAGAGGCAATGGCAGAGGACAGGACAGAGCACGTGCAGACAGCGGGATCCGCGGCCGGCGAAGATTCCCACCCCTGTCTCGCGACCTCCCTGGAATGGAGGCTGAGGGCGGGACCCGCGGCCAGCGATGAGTTCTGCCTCTGTGGGCACCATGCCCAGATCCCCCTCCTCCTCCTCCTCCTCCTCCTCCCTCCTCCTCCTCCTCCTCCTCCTCCTCCTCCTCCTCCTCCTCCTCCTCCTCCTCCTCCTCCTCCTCCTCCTCCTCCTCCTCCTCCCTCCTCCCTCCCTCCTCCTCCTCCTCCTCCTCCTCCTCCTCCTCCTCCTCCACCTCCCCCCCCTCCTCGTCCTCCTCCTCCTCCTCCTCCTTAAAACCTACACCATATGACTGCAACTCTCCGTGCTCCCGTGCCTGGAGCGGGGCGGTGCGCCCGTGCCTGGAGCCAGGAGCACTCAGACCCAAGGGAAGGGGCGTCACCCTGGGCGCTCTCTTTGGGGATGGGCAGACCCCCCCTTTAATAAAACGTGGTTTAGAGAAAACGACGGCCCACACCTGGCGGGCGCAAGCCTGGAAAATCACGGCCACGGCGCCCTCTCGAGAACCGACAACGGACAATTCACTAATCGACGTGTCACTGTTTGGGGGTTCTGTCCACCCCCGGTCTCTCCAAGCACCGTGGGCCAGGTCCCGAGGCACGACCGGTCGACGGCAAGCAAGGAGCCCCGGAAGAGAACGCCCGAGGGTCCAGCCCAGATACAGTCGGAGCGTTGACCCAAGGAACCCTAAATAAGGAACGAGGCCCCTTAGATCCACAAGTTGGACTTCGGTTTCCCATCGAGAACCAAAGCAAAACCCGAGGCAAACTGTGAAGCAATCAAGGAAGACGGAGCCCATCCCCAACGAAAAGGGTTCCTTCTTCAGGGCCCCGACTGTATTTCTCGGATTCTTGAGCGACACCTGGAGTCCGTCAGGATCGATTATTCTCGGATTCTTGAACGACGTCTTGAGTCCGTCAACGAAATCGATGGTGTCTCTGGAGAGGCCTGGTGGGTGTGACCGGCGGGGGGCGAAGCGCGCACCCGGCGTGCCCCTTTCGGCCACCAAGGGCGGGGGGGGGCCCTGCAAGGCACCACGTGTGCACCTGGCTTCGCTCTGCCATTTGTCGCCCCCCCCCCCCGTCCGCGAGGCGGGGATTTATGAAGGGGCCCAAGGACACACAAATAAACACACACAGATAAAAATAAGCCCCATATTTTCTTTTATTTTCTGGGTTTTTGTCTTCCCCCCCACTTCCCATATTATCCTATATTCTCTGGGGAATCGAGGATTCGTTGTGTCTGTGTGTTTTTCCCCCTCCTGAATTTATCCATAACCACCGCCAGGGAACCGACGTCCTGGTGCCCCAGCGGGCGGTGGAGATGGATCTAGTTTGGCCCCCAGGGGCCCGAGTAGATCCACATCCACCGCCTGCTGAGGTACACGAAGATCCACCCCCCAATGCGGTGGTTATTGATACATTCCCGCCTCGGACCCTCACACAGCGCCCGAGCACCAGCAGGAGTGGCCGTGGCCGAGTGAAGCCGGGCCGGGAGGAGATGGCGATGATTCGCGGAGGCCCGGCCCCAGGTGCCCCAGGGCTCGACGGCTTTTCGCCGATCGACTTGTGGGGATCAAGCAGGACCAGTCCAGGCGAACGCAAAGAAATCTGGGTACATCCGGGCAAACCCTGGTAGATTCAGCGACCTCCAGGGAAATCCAGGAGAGCCCAGAATCGAATCGATCAGTCGAGTCGGCGATCGCAATGAATCGGATCGGCAGAATGCGGCAGCCAAGTCGGGAGACGTCGAATCGACAGAAATCAGCAGGCCAGCAGGCCACCATTGAGAAATCGGCATCCACATCGGAACCCGAAGTCGAATCGAAGTGGAATAGGAGGCCATCGACATCGAATCGAATCGGATCGGAGGAATCGAACGGAGCCCTGGAAATCTTGAGCACCTCGTGGCCGCTCCAATGTGAGTTGAGGGACGGCAGACACCGTGAGGCTCGTAACGTGCACGGTTCCCCCCGGGGCCGTATGCGACCACAGGAGGAGGAGGAGGAGGAGGAGGAGGAGGAGGAGGAGGAGGAGGAGGCGAAGGTGGAGGGGGAGAAGGAGATGGAAGGGGAGTAAGAGGAGGAGGCGGAGGAGGAGGAGGAGGAGGAGGAGGAGGAGGAGGAGGATTTTTTTTTTACAGTGCACCGCTAACACCCAGGCTCCAAGGGCAGAGAACCTGCCAGGGACTGGCCGCTAGGGAAGAAAATTTAAGCATCAGCCCAAGATGCGACGGTCTTGGCTGGAGGAAGGCCTTTACAAATCCTCTGCAAGACTTCCAACTGCGCCTTGGTTACAGCATGCGGTCCGAGCGTGACGGCAGGGCACGGACCCCTCAAGAAAGCACTGGGAGATCTGTTGGCCCAAGACCCGCACTCGCCACAAAAGTAAAAGGAGGCCTTACGCCACAGCACGTGCGTGGGGTGCACAGGCTTGCCGGAAATCCAAGGAGAAACTCGAATTGGCATGGGGTCCAATTGAAGGGACCGCCACAGGGACTCGTCTCGAGGCAGAAGCTGCCTGCCTGGACGGGCCCATTTCTTCGAAGATTTTCCCCCGTCCCCGCCATCACACACACGCTCACGCACACACAGCCCCCCTCCCCCCTCCAAGGTGGCGAGGCATGTGGAAGCAAGGCGAGCGCGCAGAGAAGGGGCGGTGTCCTTGACCTGGCCCTGGCAAAGTGAACAAGACCACACATCTTCAGAGAGCGACCAATGGTGAGAGCTGGACCGAACATCTGACTCGATCCACCTGCGGCGCCTTAGCACCAAGTCAATGGGCTGCTTGTTCAAACGCCGGTCTGTCTCCACCTTAAGAGCGGCACACTCAAGGATGATACACGCATTTCGCTTAAGAATTGCACAAGCCTGCTGAACTAAATCGTTGTGATCGCGGACAACATCCGCTGGAACCTGGCACTCTTCCGCTCGTGCGTCAGCCAACGAATCTGCGAGGGCATTCAAGACGACATGGTCCCAATTAGCTGAATCACAGAAGCGCGCAAACTTCACGGGGTCTTCAAGCAAGTGTGACGGAACATGAGAGAGGCGGAAGGAGGCGGTACGAGAGTCGAGCAGCTCCCAGGGAGGAGGATCTGCAGGCGGGGACGGCCGCGAGGTGCCCCTGCCACAGCGGTCGGGCGCCCCCCCAGGCCAAGCGAGAGGCGGGACGTGGTTGTTAAGGTGGAAGGTTTCTCCGAAGGGCTTAGGCGACCCGTCCTCCTCCTCTTCCCCCTCCTCCTCCTCATCCCTCCTCCTCCTCCTCCTCCTCCTCCTCCTCCTCCTCCTCCTCCTCCTCCTGCTCCCTCTCCTCCTCCTCCTCCCTCCTCCCTCCTCCCTCCTCCTCCTTCCTTCCTCCTGGACCTCCGTCCTCCTCCTCCTCCTCCCTCCTCCTCCTCCTCCGTCCGTCCGTAGCCATTTTGGCTCAAGCTTGCCTCACGGGTCAGGTCCTGTGAGCTGGGGCCCAAGCTTTCTGCACCGAGGGTTCCTGCAGCCCCGCTTCCGTACACACCATTTCTCCTCCCCGCAGTTTCCCGCCGCCATACGCTGCTCTTTTGTTCGTTGTGGGAGTGGCATCGGCATCGTGGCGAAATGAAAAAAGCGTGATCGACCACAGCGTGAACATTTCGTGTGCTCCAATCCCAAGTGCCGAGGTTGGGGCTACTGCGACATCAGCCAGTTCTGTGGTCTGTGTGGCCAGGGTCGAGGCAAAGGACGGGGAGAAGATCAAGGTTCTCCCCCACCGGTGCCTGAAAGAGCTAATCGTTGGAAAGGAGGTAAACATGCGGCCAAGGGCATTCGTTAGAATGATAGGCAGGGTGAGCATGAACAGTCTTCCCAACACGACGATAAGGCTGCCCCAACGACCACCACGGACCAAGACCAAGTCTCGCTCTACCAGGACCTGGTGCAGTTTGGGAAAGAGAGAGAAGGAGTTGGAGGCAGTAGCTATGAGGCAGCCGTGCAACAGCTCAAAGTTGCCAAACAGTCGGTGCTCAAGGCCAAACCTCTCGATCAGCAAGCCCAATCGTTGCGCGACCAAATCGAGAGGACAAGGGAGAGGATCAACAAGGCGGAGCTGCAGGCGTCTAAGAAGCTCGGGGAGATCTCCAAGCTCGCAGACAAGTACTCGGACCTGCAGGCCAACATCACTACGACTCGCGAGGAGGTCGTGCAGCTGGAGGCACAGCATGCGATCGCGGTGCATTCAGTTGCTGCAGCCACGCCCAAGCCGAACACAATAAGCCCGTTTCCGACGCTCAACCATTTTATGGAGCAATTGCAGCAGGGGCCTGTCACGGGTGTGCCCGTCGACATCCAGCAGCAGGTCTACGCGTTGGAGGCGAGCATCAAGCAGGCAGTGCAGCAGGGGAGTACTGCCGTTGTGGAAGTTGCCAACCAGCCTCCGCCGCTCTCTGCCACAATGGCATGAGGGCCGCCAGCGGCTGGCACACAGCCAGGAGCGGCCGCGACGGTGGCGAAGGAGGAGCCAGACAATTTGCCCAAGGCTGGCGAGCGTGAGAACGACGACATGGATGCCACTGCATTTTTCAAGCAGAAGGAGCAGACGAGGCTCCACAGCAAGCAGGGGGCGCTCGCTCAGGCTCTCGGCAACATCGCGGTGGAGTCCTCAGACCAGGAGACCAGGAAGGCCAGAGCAGCACTCATCGGGGCGACCGAGGCGGCGAAGGCCGCTGGGAAAGGTCCCCCTGGTGGCCCGTATGGCGGGTAACAGCAAGCAGCTCGACATCATCCCCATCAACTGCATTTGTTGGGCATCAGTACAGACGTTAGTTCAATCATGTGAAGTTCATGATGCTGCAGCCAT